TTTATTTCTTTTATATTTTCGATAACTTTATATTTTTCATTTTATATAAATAGAGGACAATTTCCTTTAGCTTAGCAATGTGTCTGATATATAGTTTTATATAATAGTTTAGTTTAATTCCTTTAATACAAATTGTATAGTACAGAGCGCCGACTGAGGCAGTATTCTATTGTTATAGTTATTAAATAAACTGTTAATTTACTGACACTCTTTTAAATCTAATTACTAAATTAAACCTTTTGCTTATCATTCATAAATATTGCTTTGCTTATTACTAATAAGCATCTTAAAGAACTAACTATAATATTATCATTCAAGAATGATTTGTTATCATTCGAGAATGATATTTTATTATTCAATTAGAATGATTCATTATCATTCAAGAATAATATTTTATCATTTAATTAGAACGATTCATTATCATTTAAGAATAATATTTTATCATTTAATTAGAATGATTCATTATTATTTGAGAATAATATTTTATTGTTTAATTAAAATAATTTATTATTATTCAAGAATAATAATTCATTATATTTGAATAATGATTTTATCATCTATGAATGATAGTATCATTTAAGAATGATGGTTTTATTATTTAAGAATGATGATTTTATCATTTGAGAATGATAGTTTATTATATTTGAACGATGATTTTATCATTCAAAAATGATGATTTATCGTTCAAGTGTGATGATTTTATCATTCAAGAATAATATTTTATCATTCAATTAAAATAATTATTTATCATTCAAGAACAATAGTTTTATTGTTTGAGAATAATGATTTATTATTTAAGAATAATAGTTTTATGATGCGATACATCTATACTTATCAAAGATTTAGGTGTAATTGCAGATTGTATCTTATCTTTCAGTTTATGTAAATATTAAAATTAATATTGATAGAATAATAAATTAGGTTTTTCTCTTTCAATCTATCAGCTTTAATTTTAGATTGTATAATTTTCGATAAAGTTATTAAGGTTTTAAATCATGTAAAAAAAATGATTTTATTAATAAAAAATCAAAAATTCAAAAAAGTCAAAATAATGAATTTTACATGATTTATGATGTAATTTGAATTTCATGAGTTAGATAAATACATTGCAAAGTTTTTTCTTAGTTTATCAAGCATGTTACGAGTTAAGAAATAACAAAGGCTTTACAAATAATAGTCTCGAATATTAGATAGTAAATTTGGACCAAAAAAAAGAATAAACAGCTTCCATCACAAAATAAATTGATAAATACTAAAGAAACTGATAATAATATTTATGGAGAATTTAATGATGCAAGCAAATGGAAAGATGATAATGACAGCAAATGGGAGGATAAAATTGATTTTGAAAAAGAAAAGGACATTCAATTGAAACTTTTGAGGAAAGGATTAGGTAAATTAAACAATTATCATTTTACAGTAATTATTTTTTATTAATCATTCATATATATTTTAGAGTAGGATGCGGATAATGAATTTGAGAAAAAAAAAGAGGCCTATATAAGACTGGTAAGACACCAAAATCAATATACAGGAGGGTGAAATAAATATTGAATAATTTTTATTTGATGTTTATTTATATTTATTTGCTACAATAAATTCGTATAATATATTTAATATTTAGTATGACTTCCTTTAGCAGAAATAACTGCATAGATTTGAGAAGGCATTGAATTAATAAGTTTTTGATATATTTTTTTAGGAATCGACTTCTATTTTTCAATAATCATTTTTTCTAACTCTTGGATGTTAGATGCTTCGGATTTACGTTTTTGAAGTCCAGACTTAACAATTGACCAAAGTTCTTCAATAAGATTAAGGTCAGGACTCTGAGGTAGCCATGACAAATGTTCTACTTTACTTGAAAGAAGAAAATCTTGTGCGATTTTTGCTGTATGCACTGGTGCATTATCTTCTTGGAAAACAAGCTTTTTTTGACTTTTCATAATTGTTCTTTAAGGGTTAGCACAGCATAAGTTTCAAGGATTTCACGATAGGTTTTACTAGTAACAGAACCAATTAATAGAATAATAAGTCTAAGACCAAACTATGAAAAACAGCTCTAAAACATTCGTTTGAAACTGTATTTTACGGTCGAAGCGATACAATCTTCATTAAATTCTTCTTTAGATTTTTGCCAAACTCGACCCCAACCTGAGGTTTGAAACTGAGAAAAGGTAGATTCATCTGACCAAACTACTTTTCTTCAGTTAGCCATTGTCCAATTTAAATGCTATTCTGCGAAAGCAAGTCTTTTGATTTTATTTGCAGAAAAAATCAATGGTTTTGGACGAAACATGCATGATCGAATGCCTTCTATCCTTAATGCTTTTTAGATGGTTCGCTTGGATACTTTTTCACCTTTATTTTGTTTTATAAAAAGCTGACAAACTTCTTTTAAACTTTGGCGCTTAGAATCTTTATTATTAAGAACAGCTTTTGACAATTTTTTCCATTTTTGCACAGTTATTATTTAGGGACGACCCAATCATTTATTAATAGTTTGATTATTTTTTAACACTCGAGAAACTGTTGCCTGAGAACACTCAGCAATTTCTGCAGTTTTTT